CAGTCGGTGGCTTCCCTTTTTACCCTGTTGGAGAAGTTTTTGGATGTGCATAGGGATTTGAGTCTTAGAAGATCCCATTCATCTACTTTATCTTCTCCTGGTTATAATTCAAGTTGTTAACGAGCCTTCCTCCAATCTTCATGCCATACTTTTGTTCATCAAATTCAGCTACTTGATTATTTGCTCAGCATACAGATCAGATGGGTTTGGAGAGAGGATACAGTCCTGATGACATTTCCCAATTTTAAATCATTCAGCATCCCCTTGCTTTGTTAGGACAACAGTTTCTTGGTCTAGGTATAGATTTCATGTAAGGATGATTAAATGTTCTATAATTCCCATTCTTCTCATTGTTAACCATAATTGGTTATGATCTACACAGTCAGATGACTTTGCATGTTGTTGTTGTTATTGTTATGTGCCATCAAGTTGACTCTGACTTATAGTGACCCTGTGCAAAAGAACTCTGACCCCTGCTTTATCCTGATCCAATCTCACTACCCTCATTGCCCCATTTACTCTGTCAATCCATTTCATTTAACCACTTTGTCTTCTTGCTGATAGGTGATCTCCAAAAGTGGCTTGAGTTCAGAGATTAAAGAGTATTGTATCCCTGGGTTATGTCTCAGGGATTACTCTAGTCTCCACCAGTCCAATGTGTCTGACCTCATTTTAGGAAGTTGAGGGTTTTGGGGGTTTGCCTTTCAGCCCTGTCTGTGTGTTTCTGGTTGGAACGGTTGATAATGGAGGTGAATACCACCTTGTTCTTCAGGTCTCACTGTGAGTGAGGCCATAGTTTGTGTGGATGGTTAGTCCTAGAGACTGATTTCTTCATTGTATATTTGATTTTCTTTTTCTTTTGCTCTGGATGCATAGATGTCCACTATTGAGCTTTTAAGACTGCCAGTGCCACTTATCAAACTAGGATGCAGAGCATGGTCTCTGTGTGACAGGCATATGTGTTTCCATTTGTTTATAAGATTTTGCCATTTTCTTTTTAGACTCTCCTTCCAGAACTCCTGTATTGGTGGGATCTGATGAATTTGACAAGTGTCTCAGTAATGATAAGTTTTCTCACGAAGAATACAGTAATGGTGCTCTTTCAATCTTACAGTATCCATATGGTAAGTGGGATTATGTCCCAGCTAGAAATAATATTATTATTAAAATTTATCTTATCTATTAACTTGACATGAATTTAATAAAATTCAAATGAAGAGTAGTTGATTGAGTATAGAAAATAAAGTAGCCTGGGAACATGTAAGCTCTAAAGTCACATTGTGAGAGATAAGCTCCCAGATTCATTATGTCCTGAGTTGGTTTCATCTAACTTCCCTTCTCAGCTCCTTCATCTTTACAGAGTTGAGAGTCATGATATTTATTCTCTGGTGCATTTTGAGAAAATACATTTGAAATCCTAGTTGGTACTTCCTCATACAGAATCGGCTTTCCTGAGTGGTGATGTTGGTTCTGTAGAATCTGTTGGCTCACAGTGAACCCAGTCGTGCAGAGTGGCACTACTCTCTGTGATTTTCAGAATTCATCTTTTGGAAGCAGGTGGACAGGTAGGCCTGTCCTCCAGGTGCCTCAGGGTTAGTAGTTGACCATCTGATAGTTTGTGTCGCCAAGGTCCTGCTCAGTAATAGGTCAAACTAAAAACTCAAACTCATTGCTGTCGAATAAAACTAACACATTGCTGACCCTCAGAGGGTTTTCAGAGGCTGTGAATTGTATGGGAGGAGACTGCCCATCTCTGTCAGAGAGCGAGAGACTGGTGGGTATAAGCTGTTGGAAAGGGGCCACCTTTGGATTAAAAGCACAACTCCCTATGACTAAACTACAAAAGCTCCCTCAGTAAACATTGATTCTTGCTACTAGCTCTCTTGTTTAATCAGCTTGTAATATCGATGTAATATCAACCTGAATAGTTAATAAAAGAAATGTTCCCTATAGAGCTGATGAAAGTGCTGTAAAAAAGCAACTTTTCATTTTGTCCTTTTTGTTATGTGCCATCGAGTTGCCTGTGACCCAAAGTGACCCTGTATACAATAGCTCTGAATCCTACCCTATCCTGAGTCAATCTCATTTTCTCCAACACACCTTCCCTTATTACCCTAGTTACTATGTCAGTCCTTCTCATCCAGGGTTTTCCTCTCCCTCAACCCTTCCAAGCATGAAGTCCTTCTCCAAGAGCTAGTCCCTCCTGGCAACATGTTCAAAGTATATGAGATGAAGCTTCAAAATCTTTCCCTCTAGAGAGCAAGTTGATTTCACCCTCTCTAGACCAGACCTGTTCATTTTCTTGGCTGTCCGTGGTATGTCTTCTCTAGCACCACAACTCAAAGGCATCACTTCTTCTGTGATCCTTATTTGTTGTCTCGCTATCTGATGCATAACAAATAATTACAAAGACCATGGCCTGGAGCAGGCTCACCTTAGTTTCTAGACTAACATCTTTACACTTAAGCACTCTGGAACGGTACCTGAGAGCAGACTTTCTTAATTCAATTCATTGTGGGTTTTTTTGGGTAATCAACATTATTGATTTAATAAGTAATAATAAAACAGCAAAGCAACACATCATGTACTTTAAATGTTTTACTGAAACTTTTCACTATTTAGGCTTCAAGTAAATGAGTTATCTGTAGTACCTGTTTGCAGTATCTGTTTGTGTTCACATTTTATATGATATTTAAATGGAAAGGGTTCTATTTTAGGAGGTGAGGATGGCAGTGGGTAAGGGAAGACAAATAGATGCTTTATTTATTTATTTTTTCATTTTCTCCCCATTCATTCATTGTTGCACATTTTCCTCCCTGCCCAACCCCGCCACCCCAATTTGCTTTTCTCTTTGAAAAGAAAAAAAATTCTTTCATTGTTATACAATACCTCCCACCAAGTCCACAGGCCACTTTACTATGCATTTCTTTTTCTGGAATCTTATCATGAAAATAATACCTAATCATACATTCATTTTAAACAGCTTTCTCCTCATCTGTTTCAATGCAGTATACATTATTTATCCCCTCTTTTCTTGATTCTTTATTTTTGAAAACAATCTTTTGATTTCCTGATCATAATTTCTGAGTGTTGATTGTAAACCTGAGCGAGCTGAAATTGTTGCAATCTCAGTCTCTTCTCCATCTATCATGGTGCTGCCAATTGGCCCAGTGGTGAGAATCTTTGTTTTCTTCATGTTGAGCTTCAGTCTATGTTGAAGACTACAGTCCTTGATTTTCTGGCAGCAGATACTTCAGGTCCTCCTCAGTTTCAGCAAGCAAGTTTGTGTCATCTGCATAATGTAGGTTTTTGATGAGTCTTCCTCCAATCCTGATGCCACATTGCTCCTCAGAGAGCTCAGCCTTCTGCAGGATCTGTTCTGCATGCAGATTGAAAAGGTATGGAGATAGGATGCATCCCTGATGCACTCCGTTCCTGATTTTGAACCATGCAGTGTGTCCTTGCTCTGTTTTGATGACTGCCTCCTGGTCAAAGTACAGGTTTCACATAAGCATAATCAGGTGTTCTGGGATTCCCATTCTTCTCAAGGTTAGCCATAATTTGTTGTTATCCACACAGTCAATAAATGCCTTTGAGTAGTCAATGAAACACATGTAGACATTCTTTTGGTACTCTTTGCTTTCAGCCACAATTTATCTGACATTGGCCTTGATGTCCCTAGTGCCATGGTCTCTTCTAATCTCAGTTTGTACTTTTGGTAGTTCCCTGTTGAAGTACTGCTCCAGTCATTTTTGTATAATCTTCAGGAAGATTTTGCTTAAGTGTGATATTAGGGATATTGTTCAATAATTTCTACACTCTTATCACCTGTTTTTTTTTTTTTGGAGTGGGAATAAATATGAATCTCTTCCAGTTAGCTTCTCAGGTGGCTGTCCTCCAGATTTCTTGGCACACTTGGTGAACAGCATCAGTTTGTTGAAAAATGTTAGTTGGTATGCCATCAATTCCTAGGGCCTTTTTTTTTATATTTCCTTAGCTTGAACTTTGTCCTTCATCATCATTGCTTGTTGGTCATATATACTGTTTCATGAAATTCTTCTGTGTCAGACAATTCTTTCTGAGGAAGTGAATCTGTGTACTCCTTCCATCGTCTTTTTATTTTAATTTTTTTTCTTGTTGAGCACCATCAAATCCGATCTGTCTGGCACAGGAGATTGCCCCTCCTTCTCAAGCAGAGCATCTTTCGGGATTGCAGTGCAGCTTCTTGCCTCTAGGCCACCAGAACTCCTTTCTTCATCTCCTTTTGATGCTTTCTGGATCATTTCATATTCTTCCCATAGCATCCTTAATATTGCAACTTGAGGCTTGAATTTGTTTTGTAGTTTCTCCAGCTTAAGAAATACTAAGTGAGTTCATCTATTTTGATTGCTGACTCTAGCTCTTTGCACGTTTCACTTTAATACTTTGCTTTGTCTTGCTGAGCTTGATTCCTTTGGAATCTTCTGTTCAAGTTCTTAAATTCCTGATTTCTTCCTTTTGCTTTGGCTTCTCTTCACTCTAGTGCAATATTCAGAGTCTCTTCTGACATCCATCTTGGTTTATTCTTCCTCCTCTATCTTTATAATGAACTTTTGGATTCATCATAGATGATGTTTTTGATATCCTCCCACAGCTCATCTGATCTGTGTTCAGTAGTGTCTAAGGCCTCAAACTTGTTCTTGAAATGGTTTTTAAATTGAGATAGACTCAAGGTCAACTTTTGGTTCTTGTGGATTTGATTCTATTTTTGTTAGCTTCAGTATGAACGTACATATGAGTAGTTGATTGTCTGTTCCACAATCAGCACCTTGTTTTCACAGCTGATACTGAGCTTCTCTGACGATTCTTTCCACAGATGTAACTGGTCTGGTCCTTGTGTCATCAGGTGAGGTCCATGTGTATAGCCATCATTTGTGTTTCTTATAAAAGGTATTTGCAATGAATAAATCATTGATGGTACAAAATTCTATCTCCAGCCTCATTTTGGTTACCAAGACCATGTTTTCCAACTATTGATCCTTCTTTATTGTTTCCAACTTTTGTATTCCAGTTACCATTATTATTAACGTATCTTGATTGTATGATTGATAATTTTCCAACTGCAAATACTGGTAGAAATCGTCTGTTTCCTTCTAATTTTGCTCTGGTTGTTGGCGCATCTTTGAATATATATTTGAATGATAGTTGTATTAAGTTTTCTTTGTATGTGTATGGATATTATACTGTCTCTCGCATTAAATTTCAGGTTGGATCTAAAAACGGGTTGTGTTTTTTTTACGTATGAATGCAATCATTTTTCCTCACCTTTCCACTTTCAGCGTAGTAGATCATGATGATCTGATTCAAAATGTCCCAAACCAATCCATCTCATCATTATTTATGCATTACATTTCTTCCTTAACAATGTCTAATTTTTCTACATTCATACTTCTTACATTGCACATTGCAACTGTTCCTCCTCCTTTGTATTTCCCAGTATGAGGCCTCAGCTTCCACTGCCATGTTTGTTAGTCTAATCTAATTGGGATCTATTGTATATAGAGTTTTTGAAGGCCTATTATTTTGGAGGTGGATGGCTAATCCTTTTTCCTGGTCTGTCTGTCTTTGTTGTTTTTTTTTAATTTATTTAATAAGTTTTTATTTTATACTGGTTTACTTGCAAAGTTTGTATACATTGTTTTTTACACTAGATCTTTCCCATTTCCTTTACTCACCCCTTTCTCCACCCATCAAATTGTACCACCCTATGATTATGCCCCTACCCATCCTCACCCCTCTGCTCCCACTCTTCCCTCCTTAGATCCTCATTTACATTTTACTTTCTATTTCTACAATAATGGTCTTATACAATATTTGTCCTTATGGGACTGAGTTCACATATCATAATGCTCTCCAGTCCCTCCAAAATTAGGTAGTAATTTACAAAATCATTGCTCCTGCATGCTGCATAGTATTCCATTGTGTGAATGTAACATATTTTCTTTATCCATTCATTTGTGGTTGGACATTTGGGCTGTTTACATGTTCTTGCCATGGTGAATAATGCTGCTATGAACATTGGTTTACAAATCTCTGCTTCTGCCTCAGTTCTGATTTTCTCAGGGTATATTCTGTGCAGTGGAAT